AATACCCAGGAGGGAAATAACTGGGTTGAATGGGACATCTAATAATAGATTTCGAGGAGTATTTGCAGATTTCCATTGTGGTTGTACCAGTCTACACTCCTACCAACAGCAGAGAAGAGTTTCTTTTACCCCACAGCCCCTCCTGCATTTGTTATTTGTTGATTGCTTGAGGATAGCCACTCTTTATGGGGTGACATAGAATCTCAGTAAACTAATTTGCATTTCTCAAATGACATATGATGTTGAACATGTTTTCATATGTTTATTTTCCATTTGTGTTATTTTATCTAGGAAGTGCATATTTATTACAGATGCCTGTTTTTAATTGAGTATTTGAATTTGAGGACCCAAGGTTTTAAATTCTTTTTATATTCAAGATAGAAGTCCTTTGTCTAAGGACAGTTTCCTAGATGTTTTCCCCAATTCATGGATTTTCTTTCTTCCAGTGAACACCTTTGGTCTCTTTGTCAAAAATAAGTTGCCTGATTGTGTATCTGCATCTTCTAAACTATTCCACTGAGCTGCAGAACTTTTTTTTTCCCAAGTAACATGCTGATTTTTATGAGAGTAGCTTTGTAGTATAATTTCAAGTCAGGGAGTGTGATTCCACTTGCCTGTCCTTTTTGTTCAGGAATGCTTTTGCTAATCTAGATCTCTTGTGGTTCCAGATGAATTTTAACAACATTTTCTCTAGCTCTGTGAGGTATACTAATGGTATTTTAATCAGGATTGAACTGAGTCTGTGTAAGTTTGGGAGTATGGCCATTTTCACCATGTTGGTCATTCTTATCCATGAATGAGGCCTATTTTTCCATTTTATGAAATCCTCTTTGATCTCTTCTTTCAGAGTACTGTAATTTTCAGTGTACAGGTCTTTTACTTTCTTTGTACATTGATTCTTACTTTTTTTTTTTTTGGTTGTTTTAGTGAAAGGTGTGGTTTCATTACATTCTCTCTTGTTATGTCTTTTGTTTCTTTGGGGTTTTTTTTTGTGTGTGTGTCTTTTGTTTCTGTACAGGAATGCTATTGATTTTTTAGTGTTGACTGTATCCAGCTACCCTTAGTCTCTTAATGCATTTTTGAACTCAATTTGCTAATATTTTAAAAAGGTTGTTAAATCTGTATTCAGGAAGAATAAAAGGTGGTAATTTTCAATTTTTACCATACTTATATTAGTGTAGGTGTAACAACTTTATGAACTATTTCTAAATAGTCCTCTAAATTGCTCTTTTGGGAGTAACTTGGAGTGAAATTAGTTCTTTAAATTCTGGCACATTTCATGAGTGAAGGGATCAGGTGCTGAGCTTGTCTTTGGAGATATTTTATTGTAGATTAAATTTCCTTACTTGTTATCAATGAATTCTGACTCTTTTTCCTTAT